CCGTGCCGGTACCCTACTTTCAACGCTATTTTTAAGTCATATAGCCGCAAGAAAACCCCAGAACACCATTTGAAAATTGAAACTTGAAAACGTTCCAAGTTTGTGTGTAAAAAAGCAGTTTTCTTGCGCTATTTATCTGACCGCGCGAGTATCAAGCGATCTTGTGAAGATATCTCAATGTGATCAAGTGGGAAGTGCGGTAGGCTACCAAACAAATCGCTATCCTTTTTGGCCCTGATTCGAGCTCGGACTTGGGTAGAACTTTTGATTTTGTTATTGATAAAATGATAAAATTTTTATTATTTTATAAATGTAATTTTCATCAGTTTTTATAAGTATTTGTTTGTTTGTTGAAATAAATCGCGTTTAAACTATCACAGAAAGTCATGAAATAAAATTGTCAAAACTTAAACTACAGTACTGGACAAAAGTTTGTCAACCCCGTGCCGGCACCTTACATTCAACCCTATTTTTAGACATATAGCCGCAAGAAAACCCCAGAACCTCATATATTTTCTGAAAGCCCAATTCAAGCTCTACACGATACATTTTCCGCTATATAGAGTTCCGTTTAAGAGAGTCGAGTGTACCTTCTTTTGACTTTACCTGATAAAGAACAAGATGCGGACGATATTCTCGCATTTCTGGCGGTGTTTTCCGCAGAATGCAATAGAAAGTGAAAATATTGAGAGGAGTTGAAATGATTGTTATCCCAGACTCGTACCATAAATAAATCGATGGCTCATCGAGCATTGATTCGGATTTTAAACGAAAATCCTATTTGGTCGGAAAACTTTAGGAAAACTAAAAGTTAAAATCAGTATCACCTGTTTGGAGTGAGCACCTGTTTCTCTATCCACTTTTTGTTCCTACGCATAGCAGTTGGATACATGTTTTTTAGTGTTCTTTGGACTAAAGTATTAATATCGAAAGAAAAATAAGTAAGTAGAATATGTAAGGGCATATGTTCAGTAAATTTCAGTTTCTCAACTTTGTTTTTTGGTAAAATTTTGATTTATTAAAGGTTTTCTCATTTCCTGATGACACCTTTTAACTCCATTGTCTCATAAACTAAGGAATCCTTTTGAAAGTTTTGTCTTTTCTGTTATCTAGAAGTTGTAAAGAGTTCGATGGACAAATTTTCGAATTCAAAGAGTTCAGTAGAGCAGGTTCAACGCATCCTTCTAACTATCAGCTACTTTCTCTCTAAAAGAAAATACAAAAAATCGTAAATTCTGTGAACCCTGAATCGTTCCTTTAAAGATCAAAAAACTTACACGCATCAAAAATAATGAGAAAATGAAAGAAAAGTCGGAAAATGATAAGCTTTTGAGGGTATAAAAGCCATTGGAAAGTTGATTACAGAGCTCAAATCTCGGGTACTGTTTTCCTGAGAATGAAGCTTCTTTCTATTCTATTCATTTTTAGAATTGCTCTGAATGTATGTGGATTATTGTATCCACAAGAATGGGATATCTACAGATTGGATGGGGAAAATCTTTGCTTCAAATTCGCCTTGCAATGTAGGATTTCCTAATTTTGTATTCTTTTAGTAGAAGTTCACTGAAAAAATTTAAATTCCCAATGAATTTCTTTCATTTTCAGACATGAACTGGAAATAATTCGATACTGTTCGTTGAATGGAGCGATTTCGGTGAAAATTCAAAACTCTTTTGAGAGCAACCTTTTCGAATACCAATCAGCTGGATGTTTGTTGGAAATATTGACCAGAATATGCAAATTTTATGGAATATCTATTTAGGAATTGAAAAGGGAAGCACTAAAGATTGGACGTACACTGCTGGAACACCGCTCGCATACAACAATCGGGCACCAGGTAATAAAATATTATAAGGACAGTACACATCCAAGTATCCAATCGTACCAGTTAAGCACAGTACTCAACTGGATACAGTCCTTGTTGTTAGCTACAGTATCTAGTCAAGTATAATATCCAGTTAAGTACAAAACTCAACCAACACCGTACTCAGTCAGTGGTGAATATGTCCCTTACCCAGAAAAGTAACTAGTATGGTGGCCTATTATCCCGTCAGTACCGAATTTGACCCTGCAGCAGCCTAGATTCAACAATTTTATTTGCTATCACTTTTCAGATGCTAAAAAACGAGATCAACAACTCTTGCACAATGATGAACGAGAAAACGGGACAATGGAATGCTGTTGAATGATTTAAGCAACGTATATTAGGTGTCTGTACACTCCTCGATGCAAATGATTGGTTAATCTTTGATAATGATAATAATCTTTGTGAGTTATAGCTATTCAAAGCCCAGACGATTGGATGTACAATTCAGACAATGATACTTGTTATTCGGTTCAGGTGAGTTAAAAGAATTAAATGATTAGATTACAATCAAAGCTATAATAAAGAACTATATAAAGTTATAAAGGAATTATAACAGAAAAAGAATAAAAAACGGTGGTAAATTTAGACTTTCATTTATCCTGACTCAGTTCACTGGCAGCTTTACAATTGGACAGCAACTGAAGCGAATTGTCAGTGATTGTCAAAGAAAGCTCATTTGGTTTCAATTCATTCAAAGCCTAAGCCTAAGCCTAAGCCTGAGCCTGAGCCTGAGTCACAAGTAATAATTGCATGAGAATATGTTCTTAAAAGATTAAGGATAGAAGTTTACAGATTTGAAATTCTACTTTAGAAGTTGTTTTTCCCAAATCTTTTCAAATGACGTGTTTGTTCTTCTTTTGTTATCTGTTTACTTTTAAAAACCCAACAAACACAGCAGTTTATGATAACTTTACGCAAAGACTTATTGCTAAGAATGTTTTTATAATTCATTATTGATATTTTTGTCTGCGATCTTCAGCTAGCCCTACATTTTAGCAATAAGTCCGATTGATATTTAAATTCTGAACCTTTGCAGGCGCCAGCTAGTCAAATTTTGCGTAGAAATCTTAAAATGTACGAAACACTGCGAATTTCTGATTATGGTAGGTCTTTTCGTTGAAATCCTTCACAAATCTGTAGCCAATTTATCGATTTCTTCAACTCAAGCTTCATCAATCATCCATCCAGCGTTCCCGTTGACTTTCCCACCGGATAAGTATCATTTTTGTGTAAGAAAGTTACAATAAATCTCTTCTCAATCTCAATTTTGCAGAAAATTCCAGCGACGAGTTGGGCAAAGAATCGAGCCGCTCAAAAGGTAATTGTGGGATTGTGGGACCTTTTATACGCGAGGCTCCGCCCCTTTGCCATTGGCAATCCAACTTTGAGCTCAGATGTCTTAGTTTTGAGCGGCCCAATTTAAAGAGTTTTTGCACCGATCAACAGAAAAAGACTTGACGCATCTAATGATACCAAGAATATTTAAATTGAAGAGCCCAACAACAAGTTATTTGAACTCAAAGTCAGATTGCCAATGGTAAAAGAGGCGGGCGCGTATCAAATGTCGGATAACCACTTTGATAGTCGACTATTGCTAGTACTAAACTCATAGTTAGTTTTTAAAAAGTTAAAGCGAGCTCAAGAATTGCTGCTAGCTGAACAAGTCTACTACCAGTTTTCTGCTAGAACCAGTTTTGTGTTCAATTGGTCTAAATTCTAAAGAGAAATTTAAGAGGTAGTAGCAGGTTCATTGCTCAGCTTTGGCTTTGGCTTAGGCTTAGTAAGATCTACTAAAGAGATGAAAAACCTTCAATTGCCAACGGCAAAAAAGAAGCGACAGATGTTTTTGTTATTTTTTTATTATCATTTCCATTTAATGCTCAATCATAGCAGTTTCAGGTCTTCCTCCTCATTTTCTCCATCCAATTCATCATCGTCGACATGGTGTTTTGGCTCAATTACAACCTCGGAGAGATTGAAGAGCAAGTTCTTTGAAAGAAAATGTCTATCTTAATTCACAGATCATTGCAAGGATATTTCTCAATAAGTCCATTGGAATTAGTGCACGAAGTGTTGGGCACAATTGTCCCCCTTTCATACATCGTTTTCTGTATCATTTTGATGAACGCTGTCATCTTCAAGCGAAGAAACTTGCTGATTGCTTTTATGGTTTTCTTGGTGAGTTGAAAATCTTTTTCAAATCACTCACAAGGTCATTGTTAAGGTGATCTCAATCATTTTGACAGTGTTTCACATAATCTACCATATTCTCGACAAATATCATCAACAAAAACATCCACTTTACACTTCGATGCTCATTTGTTTCTATGAATTGTTCGGCCTATTGACTGTTCTATATTTTGTCCAAAAACTGTACATTTTAATTGGATTGAAAGGTTTGAAGGTTTTGAAGCCAGGCCAGAGCTAGAAAATGTTAAGAAAACATTCTTAACTTGACCAAACTTTTCCGTAAGCTTTGAGCAATTTATCAAAGATGTCCGGCAGATATTTGTTCATTGCCAGCTGTGATTGAGCAGTCAATTCTTTAATCGTTTGATTGTTGAAAGCATTTTGAGTGTAATTGTACTATTTTGATATGAATACTTGACTTTGGGTTCCTCTGGTACTCAAGAACTGTAGTTTCACATTTTCACAAAAAGAAGACATTTAGCTGTAAATTTGTACCAGGTGATTTTCGGGAATGGGAAAACGATTGAAGCTACTCATTTCTACATAAAATTTCATCAAACAATTATATTATTACACCTATCTTTCGACAATTTGGTGACCCCGTCTTAAAATATTTAAAATTTGAATTAGTTTTAAATAAACTAATGCACTTAAATAAATAAATAACTTTAAAATAAATATGTTTTTCAGTTCTTGGCTGAATTCTCTACAATTTTTCTACGATACCGTGGACAGACAAACGGTTTTATCGGAAGTTTCCGCGTTCGAGGAAACGAAGAGAACACAAAACTTGCCCGTTTCGATTTTCGATGTTTTACGGCTAAAATTGTTTCTGCATCCCGCCTTGAACTGCCTATTTTTACTTTGAATTAATTCTCTACCATCTTTGTAGCAAATTTTAACTTTGGCTATTTTCAGGATCAATCATTTTTATTTGGCTAAAATGACGCTTTTCTTTCAATTTCTTTTAGCTACCTCTGTCTTTTTATTGCTTAAGGCAAACGGCGTTGATTTGGGATGCGTGAGTGATCAGCTCTTAATTTGAATAGGACAATTGGTGTAGATGAATCTTTGCATGAACAAAATTGGCTGGGGGAACTTTGATTTGCTGAACTACGGATGTTTTTGTGGTCCATTCCGGGGTCAGATTGGTATGGAAGCACAAAATGACTTTGATGGGTGTGGTGATCGAAAGGAAACATTGAATAAAGAGAGTTTAGATGTTGCAAAGTACACGACGATTGCTATAGTCGGGCACAAGCAGGGGTAAGAGTGATTTGCTTTTGTTTGACAAGTCTTAAGTTAAAAATTGTAAACCAAACTGGGTCTAGGATCAAGTTTCAGGCCAGACAAAGGGTCGAACCAGGCTCAAAGTCCAAAGGTATTCATGTTTTTGGCTTGGCCTAGCCTGTCCTGGAGTTGACCTTGAAAATGTTGTGTTGCTTTCCAAAGCCAATTCATCAACATGTCCTGGCAACTATTGCTGATGACTTTAAGGACCAGCACTGATCGTATTATCTTAAAATTTGTCAAAATCCTTACGAATATAGCCGCAAATATCTTAAAAATTCTTTTATTGAGTAAAAAAAATCTTCAAACTGCAAACTTGCTCTAGCATACTGTAGCCAGCTTTACAGGACTGTTCAAACGACAATCTATACACTACACCATATCGCTGGCAATGTGTTAACAATAAGCCGTCTTGTGATCGTAAGTTAAACCATTCAGAAACCAACCTAAAAAATCTAACTTACGCACTTTTTCCAAGAAAGTTCTGGGCTAGCGCTTTAAAACGTGGTAAAACTATCATACTAATTTGCAGGTATCAAAGAAAGCGAGCAATTTCATTCTTTCATTCTTGTTCTTCATTTCATTCCATTCTTTTTGCGTATTTCTGATGTGGTTTTCTTTTTATTCTTTATCAGTGATGATGACAAAACTTTTTGGGATTTTCAGAAGGAATCGGTACATTCAAAAAGAAGAAAACTCTTTGCAAATGGCACATTATTCACATATGGGTGTGCAATTTTAATCGTCTTACAAAAGTAATATCTATATCTTTATTTTTTGCTCAAAAATTCTTCGAACTTTAATTAACTCGACATTGCAAGATGGTTTTATAAAAGAAAAAAAATGAAACTTGCCGAGTTCTTGGTAGAAAATAGAGAAACATCTTTCTTTACATACCTAGAAGTTGCTTAAATACCTTGCATACCAGTTCAGTTAAAAAAAATCATGATTGTTTCAGAATAATTACTGGAAGACAGAATTAGAATGGGCAGCGTGAGGATGCTTAAGTGCAGAAATACGCAAAAAGATTGAAATTGAGGGCTTTGTTTCATTAGGAGAGGCACCATGCTTTAAAGCGCTAACCCAGGCTTTTCTTGAAAAAGTTCGCAAGTGCAATCTAGCTGACAACGACAAATGTAAAATGGGGTTGTGTAAATGCGACAAAGGGTTCGTCGAATGTTTGTCAAATCATTTGGATCAATTGCACAAAAATCCCGGGTTCTTTTTATCTCTGAGAGCCGGGGTTCAATTTTGGATTTTAAATAGCCGCTCTAAAGCGTGCCTGCCTGCTGTAACTTACCGTAACAACTTACAGTCACAGCTAATCTTTCTCTTTTATTAATATCAGAAGCAGAATCTCTACATTGCATTTCATTTAGGGATTATTGTAGCCAGGTGATCTTTAGAACGTTTATCGAAGCTCGAAAATCTGAGTGCAATATTCATCTAGAATTTACAATGACGAAAGATTTAGATGCCCTTCACAACGCAAGCTAAAAAGCTTCGATTTGTGGGAGACTATTAGCAAAGGTTTGGAAGAAGGAGCGTGTGGCCTAAACCAGTTTATTGGATGAATAAATTGTTTTCTTGCAAAAGATGGCTTTCTATTCGATATATGCAAATGAATCTCGTCATTTTGAGCCTTCCGCTTTTGTACATCAAAGCGAATTGTTCATTCAATAAGAGAAAGGAAATTATTCTGAGCTGAGCTTTGGCGAAGCTTTCATTCGAGAATGAAAACTTTGTTGCTTACAATCTATTTAATTTTTGCTTTAACTAAATCATTTCTATTTTGCAGATTTACAACAATTCCGACTTACTTTGAAGATTATCCGGAAGGATAGGAATCAAAATAGAATGACTTGCCAGGCATGAACGTGCTTCGATCAGGCATTTGCAAGAAAGCGGCAAAGTTTTGACTGTTTCAATGAATAAATCTGAGTCAAAATTTGCAAGCGGGTTTTTTCAAAGCTTATGAATTCGGATCAGAAGTGGAACCAAACTAGAACGAGCAATTTCAAGGATTTACTTTCATTAAATATTGATTTCATAAGCTAAATTACAGCTTAAGCCTTTTTCTTTCTCTTTCTCTTTCATTCTTAGCGCTTAATTCATTTCCTTTTCACAAGAGCTTGTTGATTAGACTGCTGTTTTCGAGAAAAGGGCAAATCCACTAGAGATTTGACAGCAAAAACAAAGAAAGAGACCAAGAATTTTGACAACAACAAAGCTGGTTATACGAGTGTCTCTGCCAAAAGCTTTTTCTCAAATCATTTATCAACTGAGCTTTCAATTATTCAACTGAATTCATAACGCAAAATGGAAAATCAATCCGAGATGCATCCAAATGTTAAAAATCTCATTGCCGACCGGGAACGGGTGAGTTGAATCTTGACGTAAAGTCTACAAAACTGATTTCAATCTCCTTCAGATTAAATTTAGATTAAAATTTTGCATTCTTGAGGCTTTAGTTCTTAAAGATTGAGAAAGATCTTTAAATTTTAAACCAAAAAACCCAGAGCTCATTGAAATCAGTTCAATTTATTAGAGAGCTTGGACAGACTGATTTCAATGAGATCTTATTTGTTTTTAGGAATGGCTCGATCATTTGCTCGATGTTCCCAAGAAAAGCGAGCTGAAAAGCCATGAGGTGAGGAAATTTTTGTTATTGCCTTAAGTATGGGACTCAAAACGTCAAAAAGTTAAGCTCTGTTTCTTTTCTTGGCTTTTGGCCAGTTCTGATTAACCAATTTTTCGAAATCGCCCTTTGTAGCTTGATTTTGGCTCGGCTTAGCCTAAGAATTCAGATTTTTGAACATTTTGAAAAAACTTAAGAGGACAGAGAACAGAGAACAGTTTGAAAAAACAGAACTCCAATTTTCAGCCAAAAAGCGATCTCGGTGATCAACGGGATTTGATGGGAAAAGATCAGATTGTAGAAAAGATGGACAATCAAAATATCGATCCATTTGATTGATGAATTATTTGATGTTTTTCCGACTTTGATTATTGTCTTTGATTAGCGTCACTCTCTCCACTTTCACTGATTTCTCCTTTGGTTTTCGTAAGCATAAAACACTTGCAAAACTGCAAATCATGTAAGGAAATTTACCTTGCATCAAAGCTGAAGCAAAATACTTAAAGTTTGCATTAATAACGGGGAAAGAGCTCTCAGATTATCATCGAAAAGAAAAAGAGATAGAAAATATCGAGTAGAATCGTTTGGGCAAGTGTAAGAGCTGAGTTGACTAACATCTAAAAATCCTAGTTTTTTTGTGATTCAAGAATTCACCTGATCAAGAGTCGTTCGTTTCTTAACGCCTTATTTTTCCTCTTTTGGCTTAGCTGAAAGGATTTTGTTTGGAAATCCAATCAACTCAATCGGTTTCATTTTCCGATAAATCGCTGGCACGCTCGTGAAATTGCTCGTGAAATCGCTCGTGAAATCGCTGGCACAGGTCACAAAATAAGAAAACATCAAGATGATTTTCCAGATATCTTTAGAAAGAGTTGTTTCCATATCGCCATCGATAAGCATTTTGATCTGTGGGAGTCCGATTTGCGGTACCATGGAATTTTTTAACGGTTCTCACTAGATAAACAAGGCTGAAATGGAAATCCCCGTCTTAACAAGTCGTGTAGCTCTGGGCTAACTACCAAATCCGTTAGACGTTTCTGGGACTGCTTTTTTGGGTTAATTAACCTTTTTTTAGTGTTTTGATCATTTTCAGTAAGACCCCTAGCAAGTTATACTTTTGAATCATTCTTCGATTTTAGTAGAGAATCCTCCCTAGAGAATGATTTCGAGACGTTTTCACGTTAAATTTTAATTTCTGTCGCAAATTTTGAATGTTCATTTTCGCGCGACTTCGCATTCCAATTGACGTCGCCGCCATTTGGAGGTAGTCGATGGGAGCGTCGTGTCGTCGTTTCTTTTTCATTTTTTTCCAATCATTTTTTCAAATCATTTGTTTTTGTCAGATTAATTGAAATTATTGTTTTACGCGATAGATTTTGTGTTTCTCTTTGAAATGCGAAAGAAATCTATTTCCATTTGTGAGCCGAGTGGAGAACTTTTCGTAACCGGACCAAGGCCCGGACCACAATGAAGGCCAAAACTAATTGTAAGATGGTTTGGGGAATTGAATGGAAACAACGAAAGCAATAATCGTTTCCTGGACCGTTACAAAATTGTTTAGCATCAAGGCTTAAAGCTGTAATTTTATTGAAAAACAAAAGTAAAGAATTTATGTGGGATTTTGGGGCTTTCTAATGCGATTAATATTATTAAATTCAACAAAAGCAATAAAAAATTAATTAACACAAAAAAGCAGTCCGAGAAACGGCTAAAGCATTTGGTGGTTAACCCAAAGTTACACGACTTCTTAAGGCGGGGATTTCCATGGCTAGACAAAATGTTACAAGCCTCTAAAGAAGGAACACTTTTGGAGGCGTTCTAATTTTGACCGGTACTCTAGCCCGGACCTGTCCAAGACCCTGCCCCAAGTGATTATGCTCTATTCCGCTCGATGAGCAACGAACTGATTGGGCAGCACTTCGATGCCGAAGCACATCAATTACACCCCTATGTAAATTTTTTTTTTCTTTAAATCAAAAATCCGAACACTACAAATTTTAAGTTAGGCCCAAAAATAAACGGAAAAAATAAAATGATCCGAAAAGCATCATCCAAAATTTCAGAATTAAAGGCGGCGACTTTGATGTTAGTGAAATTTCATATTTCATCGAACCATAAAGTGTTATATGTCATTCAATAGCTCTTTTCACGCTCTTTCAGAATGCTGAATTGAGTTTTTGTGGAATTTTATTTTTCCATGAAATTTTTTCCATATTCTGCGCAGAAAAGTCAAAATAATTTTTTTCACGAAAATCTAGCTGATAAACTAAGCTCAAAAAGCAAATTTCTGAATTCTACGCAAAAAGTTGGTCGGGAATTGTTTTTTAATTTTGTGTTTTGCTCAATGGAAACGCGAGCTCTGAAACCTAGGTTTTTTAGAAGGGCGCGGTTATATGGCCCGCGTGCACCTTTGATGTTGGTAAAATTTTTCTTTTGTGTCAAATCATCAAGTGTTATATATCATTCGAAAGCATTTTTATGTGTTTAAACATGGCGGAAAGAATTTCCCAAAAACTTTGACTTTTTATTAGTTTTCTCCGATTTTATAATCTGGAATGCAGTTTTTTTTCTGCTTCTGCGGTACTTGCAGATCTGGTATAGTCTAGAAAAAATTTGTTCTATTTATAAGCATGAATTAGACAAAAAAAAGAATCACAATTGAACATTAAGCAAAAAGAAGGAAATTAAGATGTCATCTTTCCATCATCATTCAGGAGAACAACATAACCGAGTTCATTAGTCGCTCTTCTTGTAATCCTGTCTTGTTTCGAGCAACTTCAGATTCTAGCTTGCCGTGAACTGCCTCAATGCCCTCTTCAGATGCATTTCCGATGAATTGATGCTCATGGACAAATGGGCCAAGATGTAAGAGTAGAGCATGGACCAGTACACTTGGTCCAAAACCACCAACTTTTTCTAGTTCATCGGAAAGAATCGCTGTTTGGCAGCAATTTCTGGCTTTTGAATGTTTGCCTTTGCAAGCCAAATCTTTTATTTCTTTATCCGAAAGAACACTTTTAGTGGTTGAAACCATTTGAGACCATTTGTTAAACTCGCGTAATGCAGAAATGACCATTTGATAGGAACGGGAGGAAGAAACGACTGCTAAATCAGAAATCACTGAGGATCGACAGAGATTCTTTATATCGTTTTTGTTGAAACGAGCATAGATAATCCCATCACTCTTCCGATTCACATCCAACTTCCATTTTCGACAAACATCTTGGAAAATCTGAGAGGAGCCTTCGAGTTTCACCAATTGTTCAAAAAGTTGGTTTCCAATCTTGATTTTTTGCATGAAGTATTGGGGAAATTACCAAACTTCGAGAAACATTTAATAGATTTTCTTTTTTTGCCTGCAGACCTTTTACTTTTGAAATCATCGCTTCCACCGAAGGGTCACTCCAATCAGCATATTATTGAAAATCAATTGAATCCTTATCCGCGGATGGTTTTTTGTCAAACCTCTTGTTGCACCCTAAACATCCAAACGTCATCGCACAGGAAAGACCAAAATTGGTGTTCAAGAAAGATAGATCTCCACCGAGAAAAACCATGTATCCGGCTTGCACCAAAGTCTCAAAGTCCTTCCAAATTCCCTTTTCCTTCAGCGAGTCGCAAGAATCTGAACCTTCCCAAGCTAGTAATGGCAGACAATTGCGAGACGAGCACGGTTTTTCGCAGATTAGGAATGAAATAGTTGAAATAACTCGGCCGTGTCCTTTATCGAGGGAAAAAAATCAGCCGTTTTCCTCGCTCATCCAGCAGATCCAATCTTCTTCGCCGCTCTTCAACAGCTTTCAACACAGCTTCCAATCTTACTCCTTCATATCTGACAAACTGGTCCAGAGTCTTCTTGGCCTTTTTGATAGTTCGTTGTCAGCCAATAGTTACTCCTTGGTTTGATTGAAGAAAATGGTTTACAGATAATAG